TTTTTTTTCAGGACGAATGGGACTACCTTTCCGACGTGTCAGTCCTTTGATTCCATTTCGACGCCAAATGGTCTACCAATGCACAGAAGACTACCTACATGTGGGGAACTCCATTATTACCAATGTTCACTGATTGAGAAAAGGTTTCTAGCTCTATGCCGATGGACAACTGGTACATGACAGTTGCAATGCTCATCGTCCTCCAGCCACTATGCTAATGCCCCTACCGCAGATTGTGCTCCGATTCCATTCCGATAGTGCGACGCAAGGAAAAGGCTTCAAAATAGCATATAGTTTGGGTTAGTTTTGTCTTTTTGGGGAGATAAGGAAACAAGAGTTTGCTTCTCTTTCTGACTGAAAAATTAGTGAAATTTGTACTACTATTTGTCTTTGTAAGAGTACACTTTCAGTTTGTGAAAAGAATCTCTATGGAAATGGAACCATCCAGACTTGGAATTACCCGGATGGAGGAAGAGCGGGCAAATGCACATATATCATCAGAGCGGATCAAAGTCATGCAATCAGGCTCAGGTACGGTAGCGGTACGGCCTAGTATTCTTTGCGTGTTTAGCTGGTGTGTATCGGACCAAATTTTCCTTTTTGTGCACCTCAAGTATGAGGTATGAATAAATAAATAAATGAATAAATTAAAAGGTAAATAAAGATGTAAAGGTGAGCCTTATGCTTCGTGAAACTTCAGAATAAGTTCGGCTAATAGGATAACAACGGCAGCTTTGAATACTCAAGCGTTAATGGGTCCCGTTATTTTGTGAGCTACCCTACCGTTCGTGCCTGGAGAAGCGGGAGTCCGAGTGAGATATATCGTAGTGTAGTATAAGGGCCACTTGTTTTGAAGGACCTTTGTATTTGTCAAGTTGAAGAAGCTATGTATATCTACATGTTCAAGATGATTCTGTATGACCAATAAGATCGTACAGCAACAAAGCCATAAAGAATATAAAAGCCAGATTTCCCGTAGAGGACCGAGCCAAAAAGGGGGCTTAGCTATTGGTACCACTGTTCATGTGTCTTATCTCAGATTCAAGACTATCGGAATGCGAAGTGCCACTACATCACAATGCTTCTACAATCGTGACTCGCTATCAACTGCCACAGATTACGTAGAAGTAATTTTATTCGTTTTACAAAGAAAGCGAAAAATCTCTTTCTGATTTTTGTTTATTATTTCCTCACTATTCCAGTTCTCCGGCGGAAAAGAAGAAGACAAACAGATTAATCAACGTTACATATGCGCCAGATATCCATTTGTGGAGGAAGGAGAATTCATAATGAGCGCTTCGAGACCTTTGATCATTACCTATGCAAGTAGTGGTGACGAGAGGAATAAAGGATTGTTGATGGAGTATACAACGATGGATGTTGGTAGGTTAAATTTTTGCGAAGGAGGAGGGGGAGGGATGGGAAGACAGGTGATAAATCCGAATATTCTAGGTTGTGGTGGTGTTTTCTCACAATCAACTGGCACCATAAACTCACCGAACTATCCTGACAAATACTTACCACATATGCATTGTGTTTACCAGATTCAAGTCTCTTGGGTAAGTTCGTATAATCGCGAATTTCCCACCGACTACTTGCATCCTTTCCAGTCCAAGCAAGTACGCCTCACCTTTGACAATTTCGACATCGAAGTGGTACAAAATGATGAGTGCTCGTATGATAACGTAGCAGTTTACGAATCTTATATTAGTCCTACTGAGCATGGCAAATTATTGGGAAGGTGGGTATGCTTTCTTATTTTTTAATGTGCACGAAAATAATTTTTTTCTGCAGGTTCTGTGGTACCATGCTACCGCCTACACTTCTCTCAAGCACATACAAAATGGCTGTTGTATTCAGTTCGGATAGATCAATTGCTGGAAATGGGTTTTCAGCTAGGCGAGTTATGATTTTTCAAATTTTCAGATTCAAGTTCAGTGAAGCTGGCAAAAATCCTAAGCGATTTTCTAAACTCAAATGATATAAATGAAAAGTAAGAATGCAAAGAAGAGGAAAGCTAAACAGTTCATTTCTTGATAAGCAACGTTCACCAGCATGATAGGCAACTAGTACCATCTTTGGACTTTTCTTTAGAGCAGGAGGGGGAGGGAGGGGGAGGGAGTGGAGAGGGACTACCGATTCCCTACAAGTGAAGGCACGTTTGTGAGTGAAGGAATTTTTAGTCCCTGGATTTTCATATGGTCGGAAAAGCATTCCTTGGAAAACTTCCTAAGGCTGTTCAATTTTCGTAAAAGAAAAAACATTTATTTGCAAAGAGTTTCCCTAGTTGAGAGACTTGATAAATTTTTCGGGTTCCTTAATTCTCCACAAGTCGCAACCACGAAATTTTCTTCTTGAAATTAAATAAACTTTGTGATATGTGAAATTTGCAGTTGTTCGAGTTATGTGGACCATTTCCATATCCTTCCCTCTTTTACTGCTCACCAATAATATCAGGTAATTTTTTTTAGGTTTGAAGGAGTTGATCCATCAGTCGATTGTGACCGTACTTATACAGAACCAGTAGGCGAAATCATCTTTGATGGAAGCCAAGGACGATATTCGCAATGCGATTTCCACATTTCTGTATG